ACTTCATATTACGTGACGTTTTCTATTTTTCTTCGTTGTGTACTTCTTTGTAAAATGCAATCATGATTTGAAAGCGATTTCTCCACTCCAATTGTGTAATTAAAAATGAAATACTGCAATTATACAAACCTTTTTTTATACCTTTAAATGCCACGAACTGTAATTATGATTGTTACATTATATTAAATTCATATATTTGAGTGACAAAAAAATGTATTATAATTTCAATTTGATTTATGACGTTAACAATTTAATGAGTATACATTTTACCAAAGATCAACGATTGGTACCTAAATATTTTAAATCAATACATATTATAAATTGAATTAAATATTTTTACCCTTTTAATATTTTTCTTTGTATTTTCTATGCACAGGACTTGCGTAGAAGATAAAAAATATGAGAATATTTTTGAAACACCAAACATCATAGATTCAAATGTTAGTTATGTAGTTATCATGTTATGTTAGTATGTATAGTTGACTTCTGAATGATTGTACTACGGTAATAAAAATAAACAACAGTACCGTTGTCTTATAGTAAGGCGAATAGAAGATGACCTCGGCACAGCTCGGTTGTAGTTTTATTTTACTTTTTAACCTTGGTGTCGAATTTTACTGGGCGTTGCACGAGCGTATTAGGATTCGCAAGGTTGTTTTTTCGTTCTCGATCCAGATAATGATGGCGCCACAAAGGGACGCGAAGGACACACACTTATGTTGTGTTTGTTTACCTTATTCACTGACTTATGGTACAATATGAATCTCATGGTCATATATTTATATATATCGTACATGTACACATTGTTGTATTCTTTGGTGAAGAAGAATTATCTTTAAAATTATTGTACCGACATAACATCATTATAACAGACTATGAGTTTTATTATAGTGGACAACTAATAGACCAGTACCAGATATAAGAGTACGTGAATAAGTGTCATGAGAATTTGTAACGTGCCCTACAACCATAATTTTTAATTTTTGATTATTATAAGTGGGCTATATTAACTATATTAAAACAACTAGAATAATATCGTCTGATATAAGAAACTCTACCATGAGTTATCTACTATAGCTATATTGCTTAAACTATTTTAGTTACTATTTTGTAGTAAAAAATACATTTTATGCAAAACTTAATCGCGTATTGATTTGTTTTGAAAAAAAAAAAAAGGTGTGTAAATAAAATATAACATTTATGGGTATATTAACGAATAAATAAATATCTAATACATGCATTGAAATATTATTATATATTATTTTAGTAGATAATAAATGAGCAACAGAAAAAAAAAAAGAAAAATGACATACTTATATTAAACAAATATATAGCTCTTTCTTTAAAAAAAAATCGTGACTGCTGAGAATATTCGGTACCAATCTGATATTTAATCATATTATTTACAATGTGAAGTCCAATCGTCAAAATCACAGAATTTAAAATATAACAAATTATATTATAATATGTTAATTTTTTTATTTAGAAGTTTGTATACTTATAAATTACTAGAAAATTACATTGGTATTCATTGTTAAAAATAATACTTAGTAAGTATTTCGAATATTTCATTTAAAAAATATAAAATAAAAGTGGCATTTTTGAAATAGTTATTATTACTATATTATATAGTCAATTATTATATCTGTAATTTATAATAAACCTGTAATAGAGTATAAAATAAACTAATCCTACTACAGACTATTGTTTAAAAAAACTATTATAGGAGTAAGAATTTTTTTTAATTTTATTTCTGCAAAACGTAAGAATATAATTATTACGATAAAAAAAGAGAAATAGCATTCTAATAACACGATACCTGCTAAAGTATTATTATTATGTCTATAATAAATATTTCATTTTAATCGCTAACTATAACAGGTTAACTTATCCTTTAAATATATTTATTCTTGAGTTTTACATTGTATCTATAATATATTTTTATTTGACATAATGGTAAATATTTCGATTACATAGCTGCACATAGTTGTTCAATTTTCATTGTGCGGTTAAAATTTGTGTTTCGCTATTTCTACATGCTCCCTACTATTTATAAGATTTCGGTACATTGATTACATGGATACAAGCGTAGCAAAATTTGCTTTAATGCCTATAGGCACAACTTTCAGAAGAAGCTTTGGAAGCAAGAAATAAGGACGTACGATATTTTCAGCTGAATCATACACGTAAATTTTCGCGAACTATTTGAAATCGAGATATTGTTCAACAATTTTTATATACATTTGACCTTGTAACATGTCATCACAAATTAAAAAAAAAAAAAACTATTTACTATTAGAAATGAAAAATTGGATTATTTCAGTAGAATCTACTAATAGTAAACCTTCTATTAACACGGATGATGATAATAATTAAAAATTAATGTTAAGTTACTTAATTAGCCACTTATTATACTATTATTTTGTTCCTAATATTTTAATAAACAAAAAAACTTGTGTTAAAATGTGAAATTGTTTTTCTTATTTTTTTGAAACGTTAAACTTTGATTTCTTGGTTTTCAAGGATTTATCAGTGTATTAGTAGAAGGTATCATTATTATTATTATTATTATTATTATAATTTCTGATTAATAGAGGCACTGATTAAAAAAAATCGGTTCATCAATTCAAATTGTAAGCACTTAAAACATTTCGATCGATAGAACATATTTTCATTTGGAAACACTATGCGGCGGTGGCTTGAGACCTCACTGCCCGTTTCTGATGAATTTTCCTGTTCCAGGCGAAACAGACGGTGAACGCGCAGCGTGTAGTCACGGTACCGTGTGCGACTTGGATGCCGCGACAAGCCGATCAAGAGATTGGTAACGCGGCGGCGGAGGAAAAAGTGAACGTTGGAAGTGCGGTGCTAAGAAAATGTACGCGCACTGCGCGTGAAAACTCACATCCGACCGTGAGTCGATTTATGGGGGGCATCGGGGTGTCGTGTCGAACGCTCCTACACCCCTCGAGGTTTTTTTTTCTTTCATCGTAGAATTATTCAACGTTTTTGATGCAGTCCATAAAAGCCATGCGAATAGAACAGTAATAATTAACAATGATATTTATATTCGCCCTACTCCCCCCCACACCCCTTAGCTTCAGATCCTGAAATGCTGCACCCGACACGGTTTCTGCACGGTACAACACGCGGACATAGCTTTCCCCGTGGGCACATATACGGCAGCCGTCTCTGCGTCCGTCTTACTCCGCGCACATCAATCTTTTTTTTTCTCCACGCTCACCAACGTATACCGGCAGCGCAGCGTGACATGTCGAGGCGTGTGCGTTGCACATGCGCCCGTACTTTCGTCCGCAGCTCGAGGGCACACTCGTACGGTTGGACATAATAATTGTCTAACTCGTGTCCGCGCGCGTTGGCTTCGGGCGATCGTTACGAGCGCGCGACGCAGCGCACTGTACCCGGGTAGGGATGGCAATAATTCGATAACCATCGATATATCGTAATTTCGATATACATCAGAACATTTTTCCAATACTCAAAGAGTTTTATAGACTTGCACATAGGACATAAGTAATAGATTATAATTTATTTGAATACAATTTATAACCATAAGTCGTAGCTCAAGGCCGTAACTTGTAATCGATACTTCCTACAGGAATAATGTCAAATAAATTGATTAATCAAAGCTTATATATTTAATAAAATTATAAAATATTTTATAAAACCAGAACAATATTAATTAATTTAACATGCAATTTTTATATATTGCAGTACATGCCTAGACAATTATAATGAAAATAATTTTATTTATATTATGTATATATAACATCGCAAATAATTTATAATAGTATAAATTATATCAATTGGTGATTTATCGAATATTAATCACATTAAAAAATCGTTAGATACGATATTATCGAGACGATATATAGGTAACGTTGTATTGATGTAAAATGTCACGATATATCGACTTTATGTATCGATATATCATTATCATCTTTATACCCGGGTAATCTCCGGAGCTCTGATCATGATTTTTTTTCCCGTCTCCCGATCACGATTTACGGGAAGTGTACATGAAACCTCACAGTTTTGACGGACGCATTTCTCGTACACGGTTGTAAGTATCGACCAGTGTTCCGTGGCAATATCGACTGTTGCGGTTTCTTGAACCACTTCATCAGCGTTTCATTATGTGAACAACTGTTATTGGCTGATGTTGGCCAGTAGGTTAGATCAGGTGGGGTAAGTACAGAATAGTATTTTAGGTTTACCAATTAGAGTAAAGTGTGACCTTTTGGGTTGCTAGTGTGACAGCCCTAGGATTGGTTTTTAGCGTCCAGGTCACCCCCCCACTATGAAATAGTGGCCTAAAGCAGCCATACTCAACCTGTGGACCGCCAATGGTTTATATGTGGCCCAAATAGAACTCATTGAATTAATAAAAAAATTTTAAAACTAATATAAGTAAAAATAGGTATAACAGAACAATTAAAGTGTGTCCTACGCGATTGCGATAAGAATGATTATGTTTTTGGTATTTCCACTATTAATATTTTATAATGATTTTGATGTATTTTATCTTATCGCTAAACTGGCCGTAGCTCGTTTGTAGGTACGCATTATTATTATACGAAACGAATTATTAGTCGCATTGTAAATGTGTAATAGCGTTGGTATCAGGCACATTTATTTATTAAATATTTCAACCGTCAGTTGTGACATAAATTTGGGGTTTTATTTTTTAATACTTTTTTTTGACATTATGGCAGGCGTATCTTCAAAAAATAAACGAAAACTATCTGAAGAAAATCAAATGTTTCAAGAAAATTGGGAAGAAGAATATTTTGTTGTACCAAATAAAAAGGGTTCTGCTACTTGTTTGATCTGTAGAGAAAGTTTTATACTTAAAAATATAATATTATTCGTCATTACACTAACAAACACGAATCATTTGATAGTATTTATAGTCCCGGGTCTTTGACGAGAAAAGAAAAAATTAAATTCTTTCAAGAAGTCATTGCAACAACAACAAAATGTTATGTCAGTGGCGGTATCACAAGATGCAGCTGTCACAACTGCATCATACGAAATTTGTTACATACTCGGTAAGCATATGAAACCATTTACTGACGCCGAAATTGTGAAGGAATGTTTTATAAGTGCTTCCTCCTTACTATTTGATAAGTTTAGCAATAAAAATCAAATAATATCGGAAATTAAAAAAATGCAGCTTTCTGATTCTACCTGCATTAGGCGTATAGAAAATATTGCAAAACATATTTATAATCGTACCATCGAAGACTTAAAAAATTGTAAATTTTTTAGCTTGGCTTTTGATTCTAGCACTGATTCTAGGCACATCACAATGTTCTATTTTTGTTAGATACTGTACTGAACAAAATTCTATTAATGAAGATTTATTGAAATTCATTCCAATGAAAGTTCAAACGAGAGGCATCGATTATCTCAATGTGATTACTAATTTTCTTGACAACAATGATATTGATATCAAAAAATTGGTTTATGTGTGTACCGATGGATGTCCATCGATGACCGGATGTGACAAAGGATTTATTTCTCTGTTGAAAAAACAATATAATTTAACAAATATCTTGTCATTTCATTGTATTATTCATCAAAAAAACTTGGCAGCACGCGTTTCTATTCCAGAAGTAGATTTAGTGATGAAAAGCGTGATAAAAATAGTTAATTATATTCGAGCAAATGAACTCAATCATAGAAAATTTAAAAGTCTTTTAGAAGAAATGAACAGTGATTACAGTGACGTTCTTTTACATACTTCGGTGCGTTGGCTAAGTAGAGGAAAAGTTCTTCAAAGGTTTTTTACTTTACGATTAGAAATTATTGCATTTTTACAACAAAATAATAAATTTGATGAAATTGATAAAAACAATAATTGGTGGTGCTTTTTAGCTTATATGTGTGATATCACAGAAAAACTTAATGAGCTCAACTGTGGCTTACAGGGTGAAAATAAAATTATTTCGCAGATGGCAAATAAAGTTTTTGCTTTTGAAGAGAAGTTGGAGATCTATTACGAGGAAATACAGAACCAAATTCTACATAATTTCCCAACCCTTACAAAAGCTAAACAAGATGACATTATAATTTCTCAAATAAACAATATAATAATTTTAAATCATTTAGCTGCCTTATCTAATGAATTTAAAAAAAGATTTCAGGATTTAAGAGGTGTAAAGAATTGCTTTTTACTTATAGAAAATCCTTGGCACTTAGAAGTAATGAGTATAACACAATTATCTGAATTGATTGTATCTGATTATTCAAAAGTATTTGATGAGTTTATTGAATTAAAAAATGATACACATTTGGAAGTTATTTTCAAAGAAAAGCGAGAACAAAAAGAATACTTTGAATTTTGGAATTTAGTGCCAGGAAAATACAAAACCATACAAAAATGTGCCCACTTTTTGCTAACAATGTTCACATCAACATTTTTATGTGAAACTTCATATTCAAAAATGAAATATGCAAAGAATGTGTACAGAAATCGGCTTACTGATTCACATCTTGACGACTTGTTAAGAATAGCATGCAGCAAGTACAAACCAGATTTATCCAAAATAGTTAAAGAATTATCTCAATATCAAAATTCACACTAATTTAAAATAAATATTTAATTTTTTTACAATAAATTTTCAAATGTTGTACACAATATAAAAATGTATTTTTAGTTTTTTTTTTCCTTTCCGTTCATTTAGACTTGCGGCCCGCGTAATATTTTAAAATATTTTATGTGGCCCAAATGAAAAAAAAGGTTGAGTATGGCTGGCCTAAAGTGTTAAAAGAATGTTCGTATTGTAATAAAGCGATTTTATGTTTAGGCGAGTAGTAAGGCACTGCGATGGTGATAGGTGGTACAGGGACGGCGCGAGGGGAAGAAAATAGGGGGCTTGCCTAGGGCCCCGTGCCTTAAATTATAATTAAGGCCCCGCGGTTTTGATTTAACTGAACTTAAAATATTTTATTAATAGAAATTATAAGACTCAACATTTATTTTGCCCAGGGCTTCGCAAACTCTAGCATATTCATGGGGTGTATGGTTAAGCTTTATAGTTAAAATTGCCGCTTGTGAGTAATTTTAATTTACACTAAGACAAGGTGTGTACAAGAGAGAAGATTTAATTAATTGATTAATCGCGATACCAGCGTGAGCCGTATTGTCTGGATGATTTGAGGTTAGTATATTATAACCTTGTATCAAAAATTTGGTGTGTATTGTAAAATGAGTTTCCAAAATCAGGGCGAGATCATTTTTTTTTTTTTTTGATTTAGTGCTGTAATGAGTTCATTTATGTGGCTAGTAAGCCATTAGCGTTCCACATGAGAATGGCAAGAGACTGGAAGTGAATGAGTTGGATAGCATTTTGATTTAAAAGGGGGTCTAAAGCTTTAGTGAGGATAAATAATAGTGGGCTTATAAGAGCTTTAAATCAATCCATGAAGTTTAGAAACGTGTTGTTGTTTTTAGGATTATTTCTATTTTGAATTGCATTATTGATAGAAATGACCTGCGTGCAAGATTGAAAAGGTTTTGGCGGTGAATCGGTTTTGTGGGTCGGTTGTTTGACAGGTTCACAATTAGAATTAGAATTAAGTTTGAGTCCTGTTTCCGAAGTTGTTGAAATTTTTTGTACTCGTATGTTTGACAATCTTTGTAATTTGCTGGATGGCCCTCCATGCAAAAAGCATACTTGGTCGGCGAATTCCTGATTTTACTGTAGTGGATGGATGGGTGTTCCTCTCTGTAGAGGACACATCTTAAAATAATGAACTAAATAATAAATTATTTGCATAGAAAAAAAATAGTGTTCCCATTTCTAAACAAACTTTCGTTAATATTGCAGCATTATATTCTTTAGAAAGTAATTAAAATTAATGTATTGGAAAATATTGTCTTTATGTATATGTAGTAGGCATAAAGTAAAATCAGACGTTTTACTAAATGTCGGATAATGCAATTGCATAAAAATTAAATTCTTTGACTATATACCTAGGCTTTTAGTAAAATACTTGATTTGACAGTATGCCTACGACATATACGTATAAATTTCTTATGGATCAGAAGTTGAAAAAAATCATAATTTAAGCGTAAAAAATCATCATGTACGTAAGTACTTAGGATCAGTACATTTGCCCGGTATTCAAGTGTCCGACATCTTAATTATCCGACACCTTTTGCCCGAAATTATGTTTGCTTGACACTACACTTGCCTGATAACCTCAAATTGTATTATAAATAAATATGTGTCAACAATTATTAAAATATTCAATAAAATATTATATTATACCTATTATGTTATTTACAAATTAATGTTAAATTTTAAAATTATGCAATTAATAATAACACAAATATTATACTACTTACAATTTAATGTTATAATCAATTCTTATGAATCTATCGCGAATGGTGGTAAAATACGATTGAGAACGTTATTTTTGGTAACACGATTGAGAACTTAATAATATAATATACCAGGGGTGGCCAATTTGTGGCTCTTGTCATTGTTAGATGCGGCTCGCGCTTTATTTATAAAATTAAAATTTACTTATCGTATTATTATTTTGGATTTTAATTTTATAGGTTTAAATTTATAAAATATTATCAAACTATTTAAAATGTATTTATATTTATCTTATATTTGATTCTTGGAATTATTATATTTATCTGTGTGGCTCGTGAACCTATTCATGTTGGCCACTCCTGTAATATACTAAGTTATACTTAATACTTAGTACCTTTTCACATAGAACGATAATATCCGATTTAATTTTTTTTTTTAATTATTGTATATTCATTTTGTATTTTAATAAATAATAATAATAATAATAATAATAATAATAAAATAATGAAATAATAATAAAATATTGTATATCAATATTATGTGCAGTAAAAATATGTAAAATATATTGTCGGGCCACGGGAAAATATTGTGTTAGGCAAACGCAGTATCGGGGAAATGTAGTGTCGGGTAAATGAAGTGTCGGGCAAACATATCAGACTCTGTATACTTTATAACTAAGCACGCCTTGTTCTCGCAAAATTATACGACGCGAAGTGCAAATTTTCCTTTTTTGATTCAACTAATTACAACAGGATTGCGCTTCGATCCCTTTTTACCTGATAAAATCACAATACCATTGCGCACCAAATTATATGTGTATATTCTATATATAATATAAAATAATGTATATAATACATACTTTCTATAATTTGCATTGACATGCACTCAAACTATTAATTCATAAAATGCATTTTTTTAAAATCGAAATTGAGCTAATGATAGTTATAATAATAATACCGACTAATGACTATCAGTATAGAACAAAAAAAAAATGTCGACTATTGACCATGTCAATATATACATTTAGCATACACATCGCGTTGTAGCCTTCTTCTATTGAGACTCGTGAGCCGTAGAAGGAGAAATAGAAAGTAAATACGTCGTATTGTCCTCTAATTCTATGTAATCGATCGAAAAATGTACCGAAAACTTTTTCAAAGATATTAAACGTCTATAGTTTTTGTTCACATTAAAGTTGTGCGAAACTTTCGGTGAACTTTTTTATCATCATCGGTACAGCAAAATAAAACTATTGGTAGGAAGAGATGAATAAAGTAATCCAAACGTGTTTAAGTTAAATTAATAAATAAATTTAATACAATGAATAATAATGCAACGCATTAATAAATGCATAGCGGCAACGGGATGCGTATATCCGACAACTATAAAAATATCTATATAATAATAGTATAGCTGTATTTCTAACTGCCAAACGCCCACACACACACACACACACACACATAGAAATGTATCATTTTCGCTTTTGTGATATGGTAATTCAATAAGATCGAGGCCTGTGGCCTGTCGTTAGGGAAGCCCTGAAAAGGGCTTTTTTTGCCGAAATGGCCAGGAGGTCCGACAACGTTTGGCTGCCGATTTAATGCTGTTTCGTTTCGCTTAATTTTCAAATAGTTTTGCAAGGAGTATTATTGTAAGCTATACTTTGATATGAAAATGGTGTTACTGACAGTGAGGACCACGATAAGGTACCTACAGCATAACCCCCACCATTGCATATTATTTTTCTTACATTTTTTTTTTTTTCTTTTTTACAGTTACTTGGTTCAAATTTAGTTTATATTTATATCTATTAATTATTTCTTATTCATATATTGTTATTGTAATTGTAATTTATAATAACTAATATTTTTTGTCGAAGCCATATGTAATAAAAAAAAAAAAAAATGTCACTTTCTTTATAAATGTATAACTATATACCTAATGTACAGTGTGACAATAGTACTTAAGAATATATAGGGTAAAAAAAAACTAAATTATAATTTAATATTTCACCTATCGTTTCAAGATCAATGGTTTCTCATTGGATTGAATTGTGGAATTAGTGAAAATCGATATAAGCCTAAAATATGCTGTTCTAGAAATAATTTACAATCATGTATTGTGAAAATGAGGTTAAAAAATGGTTGAAATATCTGAGTACCACAACATTTTATCGAGCCAGGGGCGTATACAAGGGAGGGATTTGGGATTCAGATCCCCCCCCATAGGTCTTTTTAAAATTGTATAAAATAGTGTTCTAAATGTAAGGAAATTATAAGGAAACAAAAAAATATTGTAAGGATTTATTGTAAATTATTATTTTGACACAATTTAATGTATATATCTTTTATTATTTATTATTTAAATGTACAGGTACTTAGGTTTAAAAATTTTCCTTCCATAATTGTTTGCAATTGATCCCCTCTCATATAAAAGTTATTTATACGCCACTGCATCGAGCAATGGCGAGGATAAAATATATTGATGAAATAAGTATAGTATTATGATATGATCATATATGAACGCTGTTTGTGTTTATTTTCACCCCGTTTTTTTTTTCGCGAAGAGCAAAAAAGAAAACGATATGATTTTAGATTAATAATTATAATAATAATAATAATTAGAATAATAGTAAAATTATTTTACTACCGGTATAGCAATACGATACCTCTACCAAAACATATTTCTTTTTAGGTATCGGCAAGGGTTCTTCGTATTATATCACAAAGGGGAGATGTTTTGAGAGAGGGGGGGGGGGGTAAGGAGAAAATCATATTATATTCAATGGGCAAAATAACGACAAGCTAATTGTCATTCACAGTGGACAACGACGATGATAGTAATATTGATGACGACGCGACGATCAAGTAAAACGTTTTGAAAGTAAAATCCTTGGGCCCCATTTTGTACACATACACACATACACATATAAATGATAAATGTACACATATGTATTTTTCGCCATCACTGTGCACACGTTACGTTACATTTTACCGTTGCAGTGTACAGGGTGATGTATGCTTACCATCGTTCTTACGAAAGTAAAAAATGATCGAAGTTCACCAAGTCATTTACCAATATTATACACTGCGACAATACGATAACCATGTAGTGTTTGTCAGACTGCCATCACGATTTCAGTACGATTGATGGTTTATGTCATGTTGGAACATTGCAGCAAATCGAACTATGCGTTTTGAACGACTATAAATATTATACATACGTTTACTCGGATCATCATTTGAGAGATTTTAGAT